CATGGACTCCACTTTGTGGCCCAATTTTTTAAAGTTGGCTCTGTGTCCCATGGTGCCAGAGTGCCTTCCAAGTCACCCAGTCTTCTGTGTACCCAGGGAGGAGTCTCTCATTCGGTATCAGCCACGGCTTGAGGTTCCGGGTTTTAACCTGCCACTTTTGGACTTTCGCTTGCTTAGGTGTTCCTGCAAGAATCTCTGTAGATCTTAGAAAACTATTTTTTGATTTAACGCATTGGCATGCTGGCTGATATCCGAACAGGGGATGGGCTGGAGACATCACTGCCTTAGTCCTTTAATTATTGGCTGCTACTTCCTGGGGGATGTCATGTGGTGCAATACTGGCTAAACAGTGGTGTGGGGCGTAGACATCCTGTGATAATGCAGCATGTCTCATTAAGAGCCACATCAACTGCTTTAGTGTGGTGCGATGTTTTTTACACTGGGCATGTGCACTCAGCAGTAGAGCAGCAAAGTGCAAGGGCAGATGCCTTACTGTCTCTGATCCCCAGATTGTGCCAGTCAGCTTTTGTATGATATTGTAACAATATCATATGAAAGATGCACTAATTAAAATACATGATAATTTCTATTCAGAAATTAATTTTGGAAATATCCTTTCGTCTACTAACCTGTTGCAATTTGAAAATGAAGTTGCCGTATTAATTTATGCACTGTCTCTGATCTCTGAAAACTGGCACCCAAAGACCTTGAACATACATTCTTATCTCAGCTGTAACATAACTCTTTAAGAATAGCAATCTCTCAAAGCTTGTGGCTTTAAATGTGTGTATGTGTCTTCAGGTTGCCTGTCGCCTTATGGCAACGCCATGATTTTTATAGAGTTTTCTGAGGCAAGGAAAGTTGAATCAAGCATGTCCATTGTGTTGGTGGTAATGCTGCTTTTCCTAAGCAGGAGGTGGAGTCTGAAGAAAGCTTGGATTTCTGTCTGGGCGGAGAATCAGAGGCAGGCCAGTGGAGTCACCTCTCTCTTTGCCAATAGAATGGCTGTGCAGAGCAGATGGGACATATGGCCCTCAGCACACAATGCCAGCAAGCTGGGCTGAGTGGGATAATAGAGACAGAACAAAACAGTCTCAGAAAGCAACTGCCACATACGCGGCTCCAGCTGCTGCTTTTGGGAAAGTCTCAGTATTCTCTTTATGCTACTTCTTTCTGCCAGTTTATAGTGTGGCTGAATAATGGCTTTAAAAACAAACACGGTAAAACAGGATTTTGGATCCTTTTTCTGGCAGTGGTTCTGCTTTAAAGAGACCAATGAGTATGCAAGCTTGCATGTAAACATAAATTGTTGCTTATGTGAAATCTCTCCCCCCCCCCCTCCACCTCTAATTGCTTATTGTGTTCCCCTAGATTAAAAAATAGGGGGACAAAAGGCAAAATTTACTGGAGCTTTAGTACAAACTTCACTCAAATGAAAGAAAGTTATATAACATAACAAACAACTCCTTATTTGATCCCATTGGTTTGTGGTTAACCAAAAACACTCCACCTTGTGCACCCATTTCTTAAAAAATAAATAATTTTATGCCAGCATAGACTACATGGACTTCCTTCCCACTAGCTCTATACTTCTGAGATACTACACAGAGTAAAAACAGTTGAAGCTATTAATGTGGCACTCAGCTTCCTGCTGCTAATTCCAACACAGAGAATCTGAATGTCCTCAGATCAAGCCATCTGCTTTGCATTCATACATCATTTATAGCCATCAACTGTTCCTCCCAACATCTGCCACAAACTGAACCACTGAAATACAAACTAGCTTCAGGCAGGCAGGCAGGCAGGCAGGCAAGAAACCACCACTTGAAGCTGAAAGATACCTTAGAAAACCACCAAGGCCACTCCTTCCAAACAAGATAAAATAACTCACCCTGCTGGGACAACAACTAGTTTTGCCAACCTTGCAGTGATTATGTAAATCTGCCACATTTTTAAAAGAAATTCATCTAAGAACTGAACAGGCTTATAAATAAACTACAGAGAATTGTTGAGTTTGTTTTGCTATTGGACTCATTTGATTTTTGTGTGTGTGCAGTACACGGTTTCTATAGAACTTTTCTCCAACTCCACATTTTGAATGAGTTGATTTTCATTCAAAGTTTCTTCCCTCTCCAAGACATACAAATTTAAAATATGATGGCATGGGCAGATATATCTTTACATTTCAGGATCTTGTAAAGTTCCTTCAGTTTCACTGGCAAGTCCTAGTTTTCCGATTTTTTGACAAGTCTCCATTCTGATTAATAACTGAGCCAAGGTTTGGAAAATCTATCTATTTCATTGTCTAATCTAACGTAATTTAATCTGTGCTCATTATTTTCATCTTCTTAATGTTCAACTGTAAACCTGAATGTGGACTTTCTTCCCCGACTGTCTTCAGTAATTGTCTTTACTATTTTCTGCTAGTAGTAGAGTGTCATCTGCATATCTTAAATAGATGTTCCTTCCTCCAATTTTCACTCCTTGTTCCTCTTTTATGAATGCATGGCATCGAATCGTGCCAATCTGTAACTTGAATCGCCGTGTGGTTGAGAAAGGCGGGCTATAAATGTCGTAAATAAATAAATAAATAAATAATGCTAGAAAAGTATTTCTTCCTGTTCTTTTTCTCAGCTGCAACAGGAATTCTGTGTCTTTTTTATGCTGAAATAGACTAGCAAGATTTTGAAGTAATAGTCCAGGCTTCATATGTGCAAGAAATAATTAAATAAATTAAAATGAATTTATGCAGAATTTATACACACTCTTAGGGAGTTCGTTGGGGAGTCAGTTGTATTGTTAAGATGACTTGCTTGTTAAACATTAGCGGAATAGTGGAATCATATTCGGGACTTGTCCTTGAAAATGAAGGTCCCAAGTTGTGATTTACAGATTTCAAAACAAGAGTGGATTTTTTCCCTTTCAGATGTTGTACTGTAACTCCCATCATTCCTGACCACGGGATATGAAACACTGGCAATTAGAAATATATATATATCTAGCACCACCCCTCCCATTGAAGGCTAAAACCAGTATTTGAATCATGCCCAAAAGTACATGGGAAAAATGTAGCTGATGCACAGAATGTTAAATGTTCACATCCCACGACTAGTGTGAAGAAGTGAGCAGTGTTTTTAACTTCCAAGTCAATCCAAATTGACTATAACTACATTAGAGAAACACTTCCTATTAAGTCTAGTCGAGTCAGAGTCTGGGAGGTGGTGCACATCTCAATTTCTAAGCCAAAGAGCCAGCGTTGTCCGTAGGCACCTCAAAGATCATGTGGCCAGCATGACTGTGTGGAACATCATTAAACTTCTCTAATAATCTGGACTACAATTCCTATAATTTCCAGTGGTAAAAAATGTCATTGGCAATTTTGTCTCAAAGTTCATTAAGTAGTAATTACCAGAGTTTAATCAGCCAAGATAAACAAGGGCTTATCTCACACGTCATGACTCTTCCAAACTCACAATGACTTCTCTGCATCTTTACAAGAGAATGGTTGAAATTGCTTCAGGTAATTGTGACAAGCAGTTAATTCTGTAGATTGTGTATTAATGGTTGAAAAATTCATTAGAGAGGGCAAATAGATACAGAGATGGTACAGAAGTACATGCTTTAGATACATTTCTGATGGGCTTTAGCCAGTTTAGTTCACCTATGCAGATTTATAAAAATTGTGGCAGAGGCCACATATCTGTTGTATAACTTTCCACTCTGCTTGGGCCTGCAGAGTCCAATTTTAGGGTCATATTGTTCTTGATACAGAAGTTACAGATAAAACAGTGTGACCAAAAAAAACAACAACAAAAAAAACCCCAGCATATAAATTGTAGTTTTATGTATGCAAATTAAACTCAAACACAGCAAAATCCCAAACAAGATTGAGAGACAATTCAAAGATGTATGAACAGTGACACCCAGAGGCTAGAAATGTTATAGGAAGAAATCTTTCCTTTCGTAGTTCGATATATGGTATTTACCATCTTTTGGAGAATTTTATTCTTATATTTTTCCCCAAAATGGTAAATACCCTATATGCCAGGTTTAGATGTGTGCAGCTGAACGGAGAAAGCAAAATTTCTATCCACTTCCTCATTATGGCAATCTTCTAGCTCTCTGAAAATGTCACAAAGAGGTTCAGTGCTGAGCAAAGTAACATTTGGGTGGTTGAAGAATCACCTCAAATTGAATATGAGAGGAGCTTTCCAATCAATAGAGCAAACATGGGCAAACTTCAGGTGTTTTGGACTTCAACTTCCACGATTCCTGACATCTGGAGGTTTGGCCCTCCAGATGTCAGGAATCGTGGAAGTTGAAGTCCAAAACAGGCCTGCAATAGAGGATCACTATTGGATCCCACCTAAAAGGTTTTCTAAATAAAATTGAAAAATAAATGGCAAAATGTTTGGTTATGGAAATGTGCACCTTAATTAGGGAGAACCAGGTACAAATACAGTTAGTTAACAACTTGTGTATGCTTAAACTCAATTTCTGCTAGTTTGCATGTTTAGGTACAGTATACATTTATGGTCATTTCCTGATTGTTAAGGTGTTTTTCACATGCTCTTTTTTTTAACCTGGAACTATTTTGTCTTCCTCCTTTCTCATTTCTACCCTTAAAACAAGGATGTGATCATTGTAAGCCCCCAAAATGTTTTGAATTGTATGCCCTTCCTCTTAGCCATCATATTAATTAGTGCGAAATAATAGGAGTCCAACACAGGGCTTTTTTTTGTAGCTCCCAGAATCTGTCAAATAGCTCTCCAGATTATTTTGGCTCAGACTTTCAAAATGTACTACGACTTCCAGAATTACCCACCAGCATAACCACTGAAAGGGATTCTGGAAGTTATAGTCCATTTGGAAGCTGTAGTCCAAGTCATCCATTGCTAGCTGATGCAAACAATTTGTATTAAGTTCTGAAAACCATATGCAGCCATATTTTGCATAGTAATTTAAATAGCTACAGTCAGACAGTACATAACAATAACATCTAAAAATAAATCTGCTTTATTTTCCATTTTTCTAGAAAGCATTTAATAAAAGTTGTTACAAGTAACAAAAAAACAATATATTGCACAGGATACAGAAAACATTGGTTGCTGATGGAAAAAACCACGTATCAACAAGATTTTCTCCTAGTGACTAGGTATATTAAGTTAAAACAGTCTACAATACATTTGGAGAAGGCTGGGTCCAATATCTTACCTAAAAAGTAGGCTTGCAATTTAAAAAAATTATAATAACTTTTCAAATTAAAAAATCACTTTAAAAGTATTAAGACACCCATTAAAGGCTTGGAACACATTCTCTCTCTCTCTCTCTCTCTCTCTCTCAGATTTCATTAAACACACACCCACAGATGCAATCCAGCAATGGAGCTGTATATCAGAATTAATCCACACCCGTAAATCGCTATTCAAAATACTATTAAACTATCTTGTCACAATCCAGACTCCTGGTTTTTTTTAAAACAAAAGAGACACTCTATGACATCTCATAAAATGGAGGATTCGCACCCCCCTCCCCCAAGAATCTTTTGCTAACTTTGGATCAAATCATATAGAAATTTCTAGACTGTGATTTTTCTTTTAAGTGCTAAAATGTTTCCATGTGACTTAGATACACTTGGGTATAAGTGATTGTACATAAAGTTGTAAGTATCTGTCATAAGATGAAGCTTAATTTCTCAAGTTGACTCTGAGTAACACTTAAAGTTGTTATTTTAAGCACAACAGAATATCCATAATACACCAATTTACTGGCATTCTTATGTTATATACAAATACTCATTTACTTAACAGTTAAGAGCTTGAAATACAATTAGGAAAGGTTTTATCAGGATTCATTCCTACATGCGTGTCAGTTTGTCTTTTTAAATGACATTAGTTGTGTTGAAAAAAGAATGTGGAATAAGTGTAAAGCGAAATATTATTTACCCTTCTCCTACAAATATAAAAATCAGGAGATACCAGAATGAATGAACAAGAGCAAGTTTAAAGAAAACATCAATTGCTATGCATAATACAATTGTGCAATTTAATGATCTACATAAAATTACCAGTGAAGCAACTGATCGTGTGACGCAGATTCACATCCAAAGACACACACGAGATTATGACTAGCAGAGAAACTCTGATAAAAACAAAGAACTAGAAAGAAAGAATAAGTGTATACATGATTGTCTGGGATTTTCCTGCTTTGCATATTGCCCTACTTTGGCTTTGGTTTCATAAGCAGACTGGATTTTTATCTCAGTGGCTAATTGGTCAGTCTGGCATGACAGTTCCTATGCTATGTTTGACAGGAACACATGGAAATGGTTGCCTATATAATCATGTGTAAATCTAGAGGTTTCAGTAAAAAAAAAAAAGCTTTAAAAAACTGGGTCGGCGTATCCATGGTTCAAAGTAACTCTTATCTATTTTTATCTAAAGGAACCATTCACTTCTCTGAGTAGAGTAGGATGAGAGCTTAGCCCATCCTGGGAAAACCTAAAAGATACTCTGACCCCTCCACACCATACGTGGCCTTTCTGAATGCCTGACTGAGAAAATGGCAGTTGCAACAAGGGCTGTCTGGTCCTGAAACATTGCTGGAACTCTCTCTGTGGAATAAGCCTCAATTTATCCATGGATCATATAAAAGACAATGATTTTGGCCCCCAAACCTGCTCTTGAATTCTACAGGAGGGTGACTTATACATGAATATATATGGCATATGTCCATCTACCTACAGATATATTGTGCTTTCAGCTTTTCTTTTTTTTTGAAGCATGAGTAATATATGAAATCATCTTCTACAATGGCCTGCAGCTACAATTTCTCTACAACACAATTACAATTACATCCATGTTTCCATTATCATTCGAAACTGATGTTTGTGAAACAAGAAATATTTAAAAACATCTAGCTTCAAATAAAGTTGGGCTTTCTGAATAGTTTCCCATCCCCTGCACAATATATATATATATATACACACACACATATACACACAAAATTTTAAAATATATATCAAGAGCAAAACACTTCGGTTTCTATCTTCTTTAGCTGCCAAAGAAGGCCATGCTGCTCATCATAAGGATAACACACATACAGTGGCAACAGAATCAGTAGAAAGAAAAGCAGCTGTACTCCAACTGGTAAAGCAACCTGTACTGGCCTGACAAAGCAAAAGAAGAGAATAGGAAGCTGTCATGTGGCCTAAGCCATATCTTCTCCAAAACTAGAAATCTTAACGATACAAATCACCTGGTTTTTTTAAACCAAGAGTAACTCAACTAGCTGATCAGTACACTATTTGCTTTTTTCCCACTATATAGAAAGATTACGCCAATGCAGAAGAACTACATCAGCTTCAAGTCTCTTCCTCTTATGCAAACAATATCTAAACCATACCAGAATGCCAATGTTAAAAGGTGAGGCAATGATTCTGTTTTTGTTTTTACTACTAATGAATATTTCTGTTCTCAGCCCAAAACTGTTTCAGATGATTATCACTAATAGCTGATGAGTGAATGTATGAGAGGAAATTGTAAAAAGAAACAACTGCAACATTTAACAAGCAAGTGATACATAATTTCAGGGACAGTTTATCAGAATTTAGAAAAAAAATTGGTATGGTTACTGCCTGATGCTTTAACACTGATAAAAGAAGAATTTTTGTACATATGTTTTTACGATGTTGAAAAGATGTTTGGATATTGTAAGAAAAGTGAAAATTCTTGCATTCATTGCAATACCAAGAAATCAGAATACAGATATTATCAAATGAAACGGGGCAAGGGAAGCTAAACCCTTTAGATAAATCAAACACTTGTGAATTATTTAGGATTTATAATCCACTCAATCTGGAATTTATTTTAGATATTCTCTGACTGAAAAATAAAGGTTTGGATATTATCAATTACAGAAAAATGCAGAGTGGAAAGTAATTTTTGAAATGGCATAAATTCTAAAGTTTTGTGACATTTAACTGTTTGATGGTATTTCTCTGTAGTTTTACAGAAAGGTGCTTCAGAATCTGGCTATTAAAAAAAGAACACAAAATATACATCTTCAGCAATGGCTGCAAGTGATGGAAAAAATACTGCCATTCAAAGAAGTTTATCACAAATGACCTTTTTCTAGAACAAAAAATGCATTCGTTTGATATGAGAGATTCATTTTACAAGAAACAGCTTAAAAATCTTTAAGATCTAGTGATAAACTGCAACTGGTAAATGTAGCAGGCACTGTGGAAATGGATCTTTCGAATCAGACATCTTCACTGATGACAGTTCAGTGTATTCAAATTATTCTCCCCACAGTCTTCACTCATTTCATTAAGCTCCATTTCATGAACCTCTTCTTCATCTCGTGTGTAAGATGGGCTGTTTATATTGTCTTCACAATACATACACAACTTGAAAAAGAAAGGAAAAAATAACCCATTATTTCAGTGGCATTTTGTGGTTTGATATATTGCTAGATGCACTCAGTTACATGGATTTTAAACTTCTCTGTTTAGGAATAGGTAATAGAAGAATCTCATACTAAGGTTGCTATCTCAGGCAAACATAATTGTATGAACAAGTCTGACTAAATAGTAGAACTAAAAAACAGTATGCTATATTCAAATGGTCCAGGTTGAAGGATGGCATCACACAGTTTACATGCAATCTTCCAGTGGCGCTAGACCCCCCCCCCCCCCGCCCCAACATGAGCCAACAACATTTGGCGTGAAATCTGTTAAAGTTCTTTAAAATTGACAAAAAGCTTGCTTTCATATAGACTTTTTAGCAGTTAGCTGTCAAAAATCTGGGGCCCATAGCATGTCTGGCATGGGGGAGCAGTTCTAGATCTGCCAAAGATTCCTAGTTTTGCTCTAAGAGAAAAATATATATATTTGAATGTATGTAATTGTATAGCATTATTTCCTCAAATAAAGTTCAGGTTTTTTATTATTTTTTTAAAAAATCTTGAGAAACATACAGAATTAGCAACCATCTCAGGAAGTCCACCCTTCTGAATCAGTGGATACACTTCAAGAAGCTCTCTTTTTTGATCCTCAGTAAACTTAGGCTGAAACTTCTGCATCTGTTTCAGTTTCTGTTTGTCCTCTTTTAAAACAGCTTCCAAGTTTCTAAAGGAAAAACATTAAAAATTCTATTTCAATTCATGCTGATCTTACAAATAGGAAGTAACAGAATGTCACACATACGTTTTTAACGCTGAACTGAAATTATTGCTGTATTTTGACACAATTTTAGCTATCGTGGTTCCATATTTTGGAAACACTTTTTAGCAGAAAGGACTATAATAACTTTATCCTTATACCCTGCCACCATCTCCCTGAAGGGACTCAGGGTGGCTTACATATGCCCACAAGATGCTTACAAAACGCCCACAAGACATAAAGACAAAACAATCTGTTATGCAAAACACAATTAAAATAAGAGCATATAAAATATAACAATCCAGAGAAAAACAGTTAAATAAAACATAAGATTATGAAACAGCAGCATTGAAACTCCATCAAAACAATGCTAAACAAAAAGCAATAACCAGTAATACAATGGGCTAAAGAATCTGTAAACATATAAGTCCCATGTTTCCATCTGAAATTAATGAGGTCACTATAAAGTTGACAGGCAATGTGAAGGTGTGCACACACACCAGTAGTAGTCACACTATTTACCAACCATGTACAACACAGGGGATGAACATGAGGCGCATCATGTATAAAAATGAACACATTTTTAGCAGGGGCATTCTTCTTGTATTAGCTGTTCAAATCATAGACAAGAATAAGAGTGAGAGTTGGAGATAAGAATTTGAAACTATGAAATCTGTAGAAATTTAATTGCTGAAGTCATTATGTTGGGCAGTTATCCGTATCTGCAAAATGACACTGCAGTCACATAAGTCTGAACTATGTAAAAGGTGGAATTCAACATACTTCCATTTTGTGGAAATGCTTGCACGCCTAAGGAGCACAAGAACGAATGAACTACTACTTGTATAATGTTAGAAACCAATAGACTCTGCTATGACAGTACTACATTACAGATGTAGACTGATTGTTGTATAGTATACAGTTCCTTAATACAGTTCATGATGTGGTGACTTCAAACCATAAAATAAACTGTCAACTATCTAAAGCTGGTTTTATATAAAAATATTACTAAATTTGTCTTAACTACATGATTTACTTTGCCTTTTAAACATGTTTCATTTTCAATTGAAAGAGATAATAGAAACAGAGGAATTAGGTATCTCTACAATTACTGTCATCTATATAAAGTAACAGTATTGGTTTGAAATGGCACTTTACATGAAGTAGTTTAGACTTTCAACAGCTTTTTTCTTTTTAAACAGAATTACCTTGATGGTATCTGGTAAGTCATCATAACAGCATCATCTGTATTTGCCATCAGCAACCAGATAGGATCCTGGAGGACATATTTAATGAACTGTTCACTTTCTTCCCCTTCAGTAACTTTTGTTTTATGATTATTTTCTGAGGAATCAATGCTTCCAAAATATTTGCTCGTATGACTTGTCTCGCTACTTCCTTCAGAAACAAAACAAAACAAAACACATTTTCAATAATGGAGGGTAGAGTTTTCTATTTAAATGTTTCCAGAAGTTATTAATTGCACACATAATTTTACCTGTTCCACTGCCTGACATACCACATCCATTTGAACCAGATCCTAAAGACTCAGTAGCAGCCGAAACACCACTTCTTGATGAACTTGCATCTTCTTGAAGGAGAATATCAAGTAAATCACTTGATACAGAGAAAGTATCACAATTTTGAGCTTCCATTGGAGATTCAACCTTAAGAGAACAAAAACAAAATATTTAGTCTAAAAGTTCAAGAAAGGCTTTTTCTCCCTCAAATAATGTTTGGATGGGAGGTTTCAATTTCAGCTTTTCGTAAACAAAGCTTAGAACAAGACTTGGAAGTATTAAAGCAATTTCTATGTTGTGATGGACATTCCTCAGACAATAAGATATACTGACTAGTGAAAGAAAAGGAAGCACATTTATAAGAAAGGAATAACAGAAGAATTATGGGGAATTTCTTCGGGAAGATATTTTTTTCTTGTACACCTCAGCAACTTAATCCTTTCCATATAATTCAGAAGTAAATACCACTGAATTCAATGTGCCTTTGTTCCAAGTAAATGGATGCAGAATTATAGCCTTATCTAGTAAGATTGAGATCTGTCACAATTAGGATATCCAAGATAGAGAGCTATCTGCATTGAAACAGAATTTGTTTTGATGTAAATTTCCCTTAACACATATCAATTATTTGGGAGAATGGGCTCCCAGGCATGAACCTCTCTCTGTGAGTGTGTAGCTCTGGTGCCTTCCATTAAGGCGGAGTTTCTCAACCTTCCTAATGTCGCGACCCCTTAATACAGTTCCTCATGATGTGGTGACTTCAAACCATAAAATTATTTTCATTGTTGCTTCATAACTGTAATTTTGTTACTGTTATAAATTGTAATGTAAATATCTGATATGCAGGATGTATTTTCATTCACTGGATCAAATTTGGCATAAATAACTGATATGCCCATAACTGAATATTGCTGGGGTTGGGGGGAGATTGATTTTGTCATTTGAAGTTTTAGTTGCTGGGGTTTATAGTTAAAGAGCATTTTGAACTTCACCACAATGGAATTGAACCAAACTTGGCACACAGAATTCCCATGACCAACAGAAAATACTAGAAGGGTTTGGTGGGCAATGACCTTGAGTTTTTGAGTTGTAGTTCACCTACCTCCAGAGAGCACTGTGGACTCAAACAACCTCATACACTCTCCCTTACCCGCACGTGAGCACCATTCTGCCGTGCACCAAGTATGTCTGCTCTCCCCTCCCTGTTTTGAGTCTTAGAAACCGTTCTCCCCTTTTGGTAGGAGAATGTGCTGACTTTTCCAAAAAGAAAGAGGACAGGCAGAGAGATCTTCAGCCTCCTCTGCCAAAAGGGTTCCTAAGACCATCAGAAATAGGTTTTCTGATGATCTTTGGCGACAACTCTGAAATCCCCTCATCACCCCCCAGGGGTCCCAACCCCCCATATTGGGAAACGCTGCATTAGGGAATCAAGAATTTCTTATATATCACTATTTATTTATTTTGTTTATACCCTGCCTTTCTCCCATTGGGTTTCAAAGTGGCTTGGTGGAGCCAGCCCAACATGCCATGTTATACTTTGGGGAAGCAAAGTTGCCAGTGATATATGGCCTGAGAACCTCTCCACCTGTTGCTCTGCCTCTTGCTTCTTCCAGGACTATCACAATAAAAACAGTTAGGTCGATAATATGACCTTTATTTAACCAAAAATCAAATGTCCAAGATGTGAAACCATAGTTTAATAAGACTCATTACAATTTTAAAAAATAACAACAAAATCCCCCAAGCATATACATTTCAAAGAAAATAATTGTTAACATGCAGCACTGGAGAATTCTTTGGCACAGATATTTTGCATGAAGTTACAGAGAATGCTTACAGGGGATGGAGCTTCTCTGTTACAGTCCTTTGATGTCATGGTTTTGCAGGTGGTCCCTCCATCTGTTACAGTTCCAAGGCTGCCCAATGGACCAGTGGTTCCATTTTCAGTTACTTTAGGCATTTCTTCTAACTGCAAAAGATTCAACTGTAGAGGAGAACTGCATCGTGATTGGAATAACGGTGTTGAAGCCTGATCTTGTGGACCCAAGGACTGTGGTGTACAGGAGCGGGATGGGTCATTTCTGGATTCTATGACAGGGGACTTTTCGTTGTCTGCTGATGGACTGCAATGGAATGGTTGCACTGGAAACACTGTTTGTGGAGGGAATGGGTTTAAGGGAGTGAATGGAGGCTGTGCTGTAAACTGTGAAGGTGAAGAGAAAGAGGGCTGGCCAGAAAAACTAGGTGGGTTGGGATAAAGTGTTTGAGAAACACTGTGGTTCACCTGAGGATACACATAGTTGGGTAGTACAAGGGCTACCATTGGGGTCACTAGTGGTGCAGGAAACTGTGATAAGGGCAAAGCACAATTATTTCCCAAGTCCTGTGATTCATTCAAACCAGAAAGAGAAGCTTCAGGACCTGATGGCACAGTCCCTACAGGTGGAAAAACTGGAAGTGGGTATGCAGGCATAACGGCAGGAAAAGGCATGGTGGGGTGACTTGCTTGGGAAGTATCTGATGGGGTACAGCCTGTTGCATTTGGGCCCAGAAGAGGAAACCTGTGGGGGGTTTTGGTACCAGACACTGTACTATCTGAAGACTCGTGTGGCTTATATCGTTTTGATTTAGATTTCCTGTTCTTCCCATTTTTTTTCCAAGAGTGTTCTATGCCAGAGCCATGTTGTAGTCCATAAATACCTAGACAGAGAGAAAAAGGAAAGAAAGCTGTTTAGCAGCATATTTCTATGTTCAAGTTTTAAAGCAAATAGGATTAGGACTCTGTTCTGAGTCACCATCACAGAATTATAAAGATGGAAAGACCTCAAGGGCCATACAGTCCAACCCCATTCTGCCATGCAGGAAAAGCACTCCAACAGATGGCCACCCAGCCTCTTTAAAAGTCTCCAAGGACGGAGCTTCTACCACACTCCGAGGCAGAGAGTTCCACTGTTAAATAGGTTTTACGACGAGAAAGTTCTTCCTAATTGTTCGGGTGGAATCTTTTTTCCTGGAATTTCAACCCATTGCTCCATTGAGTCCTCTTTCTTATGACAGCCTTTCAAATAGTTAAACATGGCGATAAGGACTCCTCTCAACCTTCTTTTTTGCAGGCTAAATATTCCCAGCCCTTTAAGCCACTCCTCATAGGGCATGGTTTCATGTACGTATATATGCCAGGTGACTACTTCTCACTTATCTGCAGAAGAGAGGCATTGTGCACAAATTCCATGACTGAGCTAGTCTTTAAAAGATGTTCTAATTCTAACTTCTGAGAGTCCTGGCTTGAATCAAATTCTCCCCTTGCCCCAGGCTCCCTTTCATTTCTCAAAGTGATCCTAAATCTCTATAGAGAAGTAGTAAAAGACAGACATTATACTTGTTTCTTCTATGTAGCAAATACTAAATCAAAGTTCTTATGGGCTGGGAGATGAAGGAAAAAGATGGGCACAGTTAAAGTTGAATCTCTCATTCATTTTTTTAACAGCTCTAATGTAGGAACACAAGCTTCAGGACAATGTATAACGTGTTTCAAGTCAGCTATAACCCACATTTGGTGCTCAAATTCTGCTAAATTAAAAACATTAAAACTGAGTTCTGTTTGGATACTGCTGAAGGAGTGTAAGAAAACCAAAAATGATTCATACCATGTCCACCAGGATGTTTTCGGCTTTTTTCTTGAAAGTAGTAATTGCAATGATACTGAAAAATATGAGACTTCTTTATTTCTTTACACTTGTTCAAAAAGTTCTGCTCTTCTTTTTGTGTATGCACTGCAAGCACTTCCTTTGTTAATCCTAATTTCTTAAATGTCTCTTTCTCTTGGTTCTTTTGGGAAGTGTTAGACTGTGGAGCAACAAGCTGGCCCTCTGTGGGTTCTGTGCCAGTGGGACCATCTTCTATTATTTCTAAAATAAAATGAAATGTATTTATACATTTAGCCAAAACAAGAGATATTCTCACTTTTTCTACTTTCAAACAGCGAAATGCTAATATGATTTATCAGTCCCAGCTTCTTTCACTTCCCTAAGAAAGGAAGAATATAGTAACCTTCTAATCAAGTTTATAGAAAAATAAATAAATTCCTTGTAGGAATTGTAACACTGTTCAATAAAGGGGCACTGTACCTATTTCAGGTTGTGTTTTTTTGTCTCCAACATGAACTATGGTACTGCTGTAGCTGCACTGACTGGTAAAAGATACAACACTTTCAGGTTTTCCAGGCAAAGTCAAAGAGGTTAAGTGAGCGCCAACAACAGTAGAAGATTTATCTGGTGACTCCAACACTGCAGGGCCTATATGAGCTTTTGTCTGCCCATTTTCTTCTGCAACATCAGGTTAAGTGAGAAAAACATACATACACAGAAGAAGAAAAAGAACAAGAATAATTCTTAGCATGAAGTTGAATGAAATAAGGCATCCAGTTCTGAGTAAAGACAGAACACTGCTTTGGAGAAACCAAAAATAATGCACTTCTTTCCTAACATGGTGAGATACACTGACATTTTTTAACATTGTGATGGCACCAAATGGTGCTTGCTGTGAGGCCACCCTGAGTCCCCCTTCAGGGGTGAGAAAAGTGGGGTACAAGCGTATGAAATCAATAAATAAATAAACACAAACTTTTCAAACTTTCTAGAAATTGCCTTGATACCAGTGTATTCTTGCCTCTATGAAAACCTACCAAGGCTTTAAGAACTGGAGAGGAGGCCCTTTTCTCTGTCTTGCCACCACCACAGAAACATTTGGTAGGGATATTAGACAGGACCTTTCAGTTTCCCCCTCCATATCATCTTTCAGCAGGCAGACATTTTATTCTGGTGTGATTTGGCAACTGACTGGCAGATAAGGGAGTGTGTTTTAATTCTTGGGTGCTGTATTTCTTAATTGGTGTGATTTTAATCTAATTGTGATTTAACATTATATGTTAAGTAGCTCAACTGTATTTTATTATTATGACCATGTGATTTATAACCTCAAAAAAAAAAACCCTCTCTGTGTCAGCATGAGCCCCCGTTTTGGACAATATATATATATAAGAAATCACTGCTCTCTCCCCCTTATCAGTATTACAATTATTTATTTATTTCACATATTTGTATCCTGTCCTTCTCACCCGGGGGGGGGGGGAGGGGAGGGGGGCTCAGGGCGGCTTCACAGGCATTCATTCAATGCCAACCACAATCATAAATAAGAATACAATTAAAACAATTCATTAAAAACATTATATTACTAAGACTTTTGTTTAAAATAACATAGGTTTAAAATCAGAGTCTATTGTCATTCATATCCTCAATTGCTGCCTCTACTGTTCGAACGATTGATCCCATAACAAGGTTTTGAGTTTCTTTCTAAAGGACAGAAGGGATTATTTCCCCCTGTGTTATAGTTCTTATCACTTTTATCAAAAGTGATCACTGATTTGTCAAAAAAATTTTCACTTGTAGAAGCTTGAAGTTCAGGAAGATGAAAATATGATGTCAAACAGTAGCAGCATCTGAAGTTTTCATGTTTTTCAGGGAGACCAGATGTTTCCTTGGATGATCCAGACATCTGATTAACCTATGATTTCCCACTTACCAGGAAGCCACTGAAAATTCACTGACTGCCTGAGAAGGAGATCTGCTATTACAATTGTCACCAGCCATTTTTATTGATTGCTCTGTGGTGGGGAAACAAGATTCCCAAATAAATAGGGAATGTGCTTTGCTAATATTTACTTGGAATTTGAAAACAAGTTGTAACTTGTTGAGTTTATTGTCTAGTCAATGTAGTTAGGAATGAATTAGTGACACAATCAGCCAGATAAATTAGTCTTTTTTACACGGATGCCATTTTAAACAGCAGCTCTATGCCAATACGCCCTCTTTCCACCTTTGATAATATCTACTATTTTTTAAAAAGATTTTCTTCCACTGTGAATTTCCCAATAGATAGAAGTAGCAGCGAGTGAGAACACACAAAATAATTAAAGGTAATAGTCATTGTATGCACCCTTTATTACTAGCTCTAATAAGGACAGAAAGGAGGATACTAGGACAGGATGAGGGGAAAATATGCAAAATACCTGTGGATGTTGTAATACTATTATCATTCATTTTATTTCTGAGTATATCCGACTTCAGTGATACCGCATTTGATACAGTTTGAGACTTTTTCTTTACAGCATCATCTGCAGTGCAACTTTCCAAATACCTGTGGGCAAGACCAATTAAAATATGCAGTTAGAAAAGGTAAGCTGGCATACCTAACCAGTACTTTATTGAACTGTATTATTGCTTATTGAGTCCCCCCAGAAAGGCCGTATATAAATACTGTAAATAAATAATAAATTACCTGATAACACTATCTAAACAGCTGATTTGCTGATATGAATACACAGGCTGATCTCCCCAAGCCAATTCATCTCCAGCTAAGCTTCTTTGACAAGCAATTCCAACAGTATCATTTTCAGCTAATGGAGTGGAATTTTTCATATGGCCACATTGGTCACTGGGTTTCTCTGTGTAACAAGAACATGAATACTTCACATTTTGTATGCATGGATCCTTCACAATTCCCAAGGCATAATCAAACATTCTAGACACAGGAAATGAATAAATCCTGTCCTGGTAACAAATGTGGCAGCTTTAAGTAGGAGCACATTGAAATGCCCAATCTATGACAAGCTTTTTCTGCAAAACAACTATGGAAACAAGGCTAGTCTGTATGCAGTTGACCACATGTTGGTGGTATATATTCTTGGTTAAACTGATAGAGCCAATCTAAAAATAACATGTTTTTTTTAACAACTAGATTGTAAGTTTGACGGCAGGCAACTTTTTTGTTAGTCTTTTACTTGTAAATGACCATATACTATTATGGAGCTAAACAAACAAGTGATGACAATGACAACAACAATGACTACTACACTATCTTACCTCCATAAGGTATTTTTTTATTTTCAGGCTGTGATCTGGAATCAAAGGGGACATACTCTTCTTTATTTTTGGCCACAGGTCCATCTTTGCAAGTACCTTGAGAAGAGTTCTACCGTAGGAAAAGGCAAACAATTACTAAAAGAAAGCATTTTATATTAGGTTATATGTGGTAAATGCTTACTGGGGAAAAAGAGTGAGACCGACTATGCTTTGGTGGCTCTCCTCTAACAATTCTTAAAAAACAACAACCACATAACAAACAAAAAACAAAACAAAAACAAAAAACAAACTTCAAGGGCCTTTTTTCTTATTAGACTGAAACAACTACTAGGATGAAACTGTTACATGAAAATCTTACAGGCTTGGAGATCCTCTGGATATCTTCATTATTGTTCCCATTGCTGTCACTGGAGGAAGCCACACTCATAAGGTGTTCATGCGATCCATTGCTGCCCAAGCTTCCATAGCCGCTAGAGCCACTGTTATGCACTGGCTAAATATAAACATATACACACAGATGTAGTTGGAATCAACAAAGAAGTACCTCAGAAAGCTATTCCTATTATTTAAGAAACAGTTTTTGGAGTGCAAGTGGAGGTCTCCATTTCAAAAGTGAACTTTGCAAAGATGCAGGATGTTGAATGAATAGATCCCGAATCCAGGTCAGTAAGTGCTTAACTTTTGCAGAAATATAATTTTGAAATAAATAGAATGGGTGCCATTTTGCCAATCAACAATATTAAGCTGAAGAGTAGTACAAGTGATAGCAGCCCGCCTCAGAATGGAAGCCGCCATCAGCAACATCAAGTTTCAGAAAAGAAACACAATGAGAATCAAGGTACTATTGCCACAAACCCCATCTTTTCCAATAATCCATCTGGAGTTCCTAGCTATTATAAGATTCAGTAGCACCACTTCAACAGTGCACTACATAAAATATTGCACTACTTTATGATGTTTGAGCGATTTCGGAAAGTGGCACTGGATGCATCCTATTCGTTCAGATTTCCATTTGAAAATCCATATCCTCCCAAATGAGACTACTTGGGTTTTAAATACTTGGGATAAGGCTTCTCTGTTGTTGCATTATTGCAGATATGTCTGTACTGAAAGTGCAAGGTGGCCTTCTTTGTGACTGTTCATAGGTTCTGGGATTGTTTGTCATCTTTGATGGTTTTCCATTAGCAGGCAAATACCTTATTAATCATAAAGAATTATGCCCTTTAAAATGGCTTGATGAAAAATGTGGATACTGGCTGTTTCTCAAAATTATTGATGCAATTCTAACTTATTTGCATTTACTCTGATCTGTATATTATCTCTGTCAGCTGCCTTTAGTTCATTTTGGAAAGGCAGAATATAAGAGAGAGAAATGAATAAAACCCTAACTGATCAATATTTTATGAGAAAGTACATTTTGAATGTCTGAATTATCTGGGTAATCTAGACAGTTATGGACGTTTTATCTCACTCATAACGGCTTTCCCCTGGGGAACCAAAATTTAGGTAAACTCAACTTGATTTTCTTTCAATGTAAACACAGTGTACCTGTAATAATAACCGATGTATTTGTTCCGTAATTTCCTGAACATTAGGATGAATATTTTTTTCTTCTGCGCAATGAGGTGCAAACACATCTTCATTCAAGGGACCTCTGTAAAAACCAGTAATAATATTCAGGATAACAAGTACATTCTTTTTTTGTTGTTGTTGTTGAGTGAGCCCTCTTTTTTCTATTTCATCTACAAACTTTGAAACTGATAAAATGATCAGGCTTACTCATTCCAAAAAAGATTTCTTCATTCATTCTGAAGTAACTCTTGACAAGTTAGGAAAAATCTGTAGCACTTACAAGTGTCTTGTTAAAATCATTTACTATACAGTACATACTTAGCAGAGCAATTATTATTGTTACTACTACTATTATTCTCTCCTCTCAACATATTTATTCACTTTAGAAATAGTATGGATGCTTTACTTATGTTTGAATGCTGACTACACCTACTTTACAAGACTTTATAATTGCCAGTACAAAACATGAAGGCACTAAAACATCAGAACTGTCTCAAACATAGCAGAGGGGAAAGCCTCATTAATACAATCTCTAATACTATTACTTATTGAATTTCTACTCTGCCCATCCACATAAGAGCTCAAGGTAAATTTATCAAGTGACTAGCTCATCTGGCCAGAATCATACTGATGCACTACATGAACATAGGCAGGAGAAACGAATATAGGCACAGCAGCCATTAACTTAAAAAGGCATTGGAAAAAGACTATTTAGGGGTAGTTGATTTTGTTTGCCTTCTCCACTAGCACTGTATCACCCTGGAAATAGAGAAACTGACAACATGGTGCACCAATGGGATTCCAGATTCTGTCTTTGATAAGACACAGTTTGCATCAAGTTAAAACTCACTTAAATATTACAACTGTCATATGAATGTCAATGTTATACCATCTTCATATAGTGGTCCTAATGATAAATAGAAGATATCTTTGTCATTACTTAACATGAAAAACAGTAGTTCTTGCTGGACACTAGACAAGACTATCCTCATTGTAAGTGACACTAGGGACCTAATCAGACACAGTCTTCTCCCTGTTTTTTCGCACTGTTAAGATGGAATACCACACAGCTCATCACATGATGAACGTCAACTTGTGGCAAGGCTCCATTTCGGCAGCATGGAGAAATGGAGCTGAGAGTGCCTTTGGAAATGTTGGGTGTTACCTGACTCCTAATGGTACAAAGTGGAGAAATACAGGGGATAGATGGACCTGACGGGGAAAGGAGGTGGGATGGCAGCAAACAGACCTGGATGGGAGGGAACAGAGTAAGACGGTTCCCTCCACTGTCCCACACTTTCCACTCGCCCATCTGAATATGCTAGGGAAGCTGTCTGCAGTGGCATTCATGGGAAATCTAGACAAAGACTACAGTAGAGTAGACAAAGCATCATTTATGCAGTTATTATGTGAATGGATTAACAAAGTAAATAGCAGGTGTGGCAACTTGGACACTTTCCTCTCTGCTGTGGTTTCAATCTGGGAACCAAAACCTTGCATTCTGAATGGAAAGAAAAGTTCTTAATAGTAGGCCTAATTCTTAGTGGGACCACAATGGGGAGGAAAATGTTAAAAGCGCATCACCTCTTTACACTGGGGCCCTAACTGGGATTATCATCTGGACCTCAACTATTTAAATTTTAAAATTTTAAAAAGACATTCTCACAATTTCGTATTGTCCAGTCTGGTCTTAAGGTGCAGAAATCATCTCTTTGAGAAGGTAGTGATGAGAGGAAAAAAGGAGCACACCCATTAGGCTGCCATGATTCAGAACATTTGTACATGATACTTCACCTTGTGTTTCAAGGTAAATACATTCCCCCCAAAACTTTACAATGGAAGAGCTTTAACTTTTATTACATTTACTTACGTTCTAACTTTGTGTCTTCCAATTATAAAGGAAATCTTTCGACTCCAGGGGTTGATGAAACTAGACCAGCTAGTATCCAGAGTTACATATTCACCATTTCTAGTACAGAATCTGATTGGTGAATAGTCAAATGGCTGACCACCGCACTGAAGTACTATTGTAAGAAGAAAGAAAGACCAATTTTAAGGAAATAAATCACAAAAGTGATATTTGTCATCCAGAAAAAGTGAAGGAGCACTATAGAACCAGTAAAAAGGTGCCAGTTGTTACTTCTGTGATATTTTTACTTTTAAATAATCAAATATTTATAATTCCCAAAATTAGAAATGGAATATTTAAAAGCAATTCTTAGGTTCTATTGGACATGGGAACCGAAGGACAAAAGAAGAATGGATGTTAAAAATAACTGACACAATTAATATGGACAAATTAACATAACTATTAAATAAACATTCAGATGGGTATACAAAAACAACAGACTGGACACTATTGAGAGACTACATGGAACAAGAAAAAATGAAATTGATAAGAGAACCAAATCGAAAACAAGGAAAAAAATTGTCACCCATTGGAAAACATTAAAGAGGGGAGAGCAATAATACAAAGAAACAAGAAAGGACCACATAGATCACAGTGGAGAAGATTGGAAGCCAAATTTTCTTTTTTCTTTATACTCTTTCCTTCCCCAGATCACTAGAAATTCGGGCTTATATATAAACTTATTTTCTTTTTCCAGTATCTTATATTTCTATTTACTTGTGGTAGTATTCCCCCACCCCCACTATACCCCTCTTTTTATGATATTGTAAATATTAGAATTTTGCCTTCTTAATCAATAAAGATTATTTTAAAAAATAACCAAGGAACATGGAACACATAATTATTACATATTAAGATGCTTTCCTGAATCTACCACATTTAGAACTAATATGTATTTCATTATAATGCTGTGTACAATCATGCTTTAGAATCTTGGATAGAAGGAAGAAACAAGCAAACACAATCATGATGCATTACATCCACACAAATAGGAAGATCCATTGAAAGACCACACCATGGAGCTCAGGGCTGCACATGATATTTTAAGTATAAGTGATATAAGCCATTCACCTACAAAAGAAACCTGACTCTAGAAAGAGGCAAAATCTGAATCTACAACATTCTAACATACTCAGTCCTCTCATTATGCTCTTTTTTGGAATCATGCTTAAACTTTATTTGCTTAGAGATTCTATCACATTTATGTATGGTATTTTTAGCTACTTGAAAGCATGCTTATACTTCTTCATTTCACTGCAGTGATACTAAGATTATACTTTAATTTTAAGTATATCACCCTGATTTTTTTAAAGCCTGAAAGAAAGGGAGGGACAACAGAACAGATTAACTCTTATATAGCCAAAATGAATGTGAAGTGCTATTTATTTATTTATTATTTTATTTACAGCATTTTACCCCACCCTTCTCAACCCCCTCGGGGGGGGGACAGGACTCAGAGCGGCGAACATAGGCAACAATTCGATGCCACACTATCAATAACACCAGTATAAAACCATAAACACATGAAAAGTTAAAAACAGTAACAATTAACTATCTATTTATAATGGTGCCTACAGTAGAAGAAAACATGCTTCTTAATGCAGTATAATTCTAGGTTCCAAGCAGTTCAGTTTAAACAGTATAATATTCTGCAAGTTAAAATCACTACTTTGAACTGTCTAGAAGATTGCAGTAAACCCACAATGGTACTGCACTGCTGGAAAAATATGGCCCAAATCAAATTTAGTTCCAACAAGAGTAGACTAAATTAACTAACCTGGGAAATCAACATTTATGAAAGATTAATTGATTCAATAACTCTAATCCAGTTGGGACAAACAAGTTGATTTAGCCTTGTGTTCCAATGATCATTTGTTTCTCATGGCAAACTGTCAACTGGTATGCACGACATGGCACATATAATAATTGCCTTTAGTTGAGTTTGACAACTTCCAATTGGCTTCCGCTAGTCATTAAACATGTGAGGCTGCCTTATATTTAATCATATCATTTATTTATTTCAACACTGTTCACTCTAATTGGTAACAGTATTCGAGGGTCTCAAGTAGAAGTATTTCCCACTGCTTGGTCCTTTTGATGGGAAAGGGATTGAATCTGGGGCTTTTTGCATGCAAACTATATAGTTCATCATTGAGCTCTAGCCAAAAATAACTAGAAAATGGACTGCACCCATATAGAATTGTCTGACTACGCAATCATCTGCCTCATTCTGAAATAGGTTGATAGCCCCTGGGGTATGTTCTTGAATAGAGTGACCTCTAGGTATTGAGATCCTCTTTACAGAGAGGAACTCCTTCTCTCCTTCATAAAATGCTACCAAGAATGCTTTCAACACAGAATTTTTCAAGCATTTTGATCTTAAAGTAGGATAAAAATATAAATACTGTAGATGAAGCCTTTGAATGGGCTGGACAAGAAAGCCTCACATAAACTATATTAATAATTACTGAATCTGCATGAAAAGGTAACTAGACCTATCAGATAAAGTTGTAAAAAGTGTTTTTCACCACAATTTCTATTTGTTTTTAAATAATTAAAATAATTTAACTGCAGTGGTTAAATTCACTCAAAACTAATTAAAGTCCTCCAGGTCACATGACTGAATTTAATAGAAAAAAAAATTCACACACTGGAGACATATTACTTTAGCATGAGTCTGCTAAAAAACCGAACCATTAATAAACAGAAGGGTAGGAAGGAGGAATTAATAATCAACACATTATAAATTCTGATCTAAGTGTCAGAAATCCAATAAATAAATCGGTTTAAAGATTCCAAAATTACAAGAAAATTAGTAGAACCTACTTTTTTTGTGAATTGCTAGCATTAAAGGTCGATCACTTGGATGAAGGTGCATTAAGACAGGGGTCCCAATTAAATCCTGAGGTAAGTAACCCAACAGAGGCACAGCTCTTTTTTAAGAAAAGGAAAGAAAAAAATTAAATAATCATGAAACTGAATACATTTACACACAAAATCATTTTAATCCCATTTAGACAACAATAAGTAACACACACTCTCTCTATGCTTTACATTCAACTTTGCAAAAAAGTGGGAGATGAAAAATATTAATAATAATCTTTTTAAATTGTCAAATATCATAAGAGAAGAAACATAAAACCCAGAGGACTTGGCCTTTTTCAGCCCAGAGTCTTCCAGAAGTATTAGACTACAAATGCCATCTTTAGCCAACGGAACCAATGCTTATGGTTATGCTAGATGGGAATGGCAGGAATTGTAGTTTAGACTATAAAGAGCAGGTCAAATTTATGAAGGCTGTCCTCAAACATCCAAATAGATCAGTGGTTCTCAACCTGTGGGTCCCCAGATGTTTTGGCCTTCAACTCCCAGAAATCCTAACAGCTGCCAAACTGGCTGGGATTTCTGAGAGTTGTAGGCCAAAACACCGGAGGACCCACAGGCTGAGAACCACTGAAATAGACGCTCAGCATCTGTTATATTATAAAATGTCTAGTCTACTAATTTTGCAGAATTTGACAAGAGCTCAAAATCAACATCAATTTTCATTGCTAGCAAAAGAGCGGAATCTGAATGTCCAAGATTGTACCAATCACTTTGTTTGCAAAAATATTTCAATAAAATATACAATATGCTGTTCTTGCTCATTCCTAATCCCATACAAACCAAAGCTGTATCAAGAGCAAAGATCTAGGTTCACAGGGATATTCTGCTGTTTATTTCTTTTGATAAACTATTACTTGAGCAACTAACAACGTATCGCAACACAATCATTCTATATTAATATATTATCTGCTTTTTAAAATACTATAGTAATCATTGCGGCTAAATAAGAATTATGAAATATATAAACTATGAACAAATGTAAACATTTCACCTTTCATCTACATCTTGGAATAAACAACTTGGTGTATGTGTGGTTGTAAAGACTCTTTTATTAGGAGGAATTCTTGGTGCTGAAAAAACAAAATAGAACATTTAGTAAAATAGAACATTTATATGATCTGGACAGTTATTATTTACAAAAGTGATAAATTTGCTCATATAAATCTGTGCATCTATTTACAGCAGAGATTGACTATGCAGCCGGTAATTGAAGATTTTAGTTTCATGGAACAATTATAGCTTGGAGAGGCATTATGAATATATGATTAATTTCAAACAATTCATTCATAACTACTTGAATTTATGATATTCAAATCTCACTGAAACAAACATAAATCTTTAAACCTTGCTCTTATTAGGATTCACCCCAAGTACTAGGATTAGCCCTAAATTTGCTAGATTACATCCAGACTATTAGAACAAAATGGAAACAAATAGTAGTTAAAATGACTAAAGAATAACAAGACAAACTAAATAGGAGTCAACGTCATGTTCACTGAAATGGACACATTTGTTTCCATTCATGTTCATTTACAAGTTAAGATGCAAACCACACACATCATAAAAAAACAAATGAATTATTGTTTTGTCGAAGGCTTTCATGGCCGGAATCACTCAGTTCTTGTGGGTTTTTTTGGGCTATATGGCCATGTTCTAGAGGCATTTCTCCTGACGTTTCGCCTGCATCTATGGCAAGCATCCTCAGAGGTGAGGTCTGCTGGAGCTGGGAAAAAAGGGGTTTATATATCTGTGGAATGAGCAGGGTGAGACAAAGGGCTTTTGTAAGTTGGGCTAGGTGTGATTCTTTCAACTGACCACCTTGATTAGCATACAATGGGCTGACTGAGCCTGGAGCAAACTCTTCTTGAAAGGTGATTAGATGTCCCTGCCTGTTTTTCTCTCTGCTGTTTTTGCTGTTGCAATTTTAGAATTTTTTAATACTGGTAGCCAGATTTTGTTCATTTTCATGGTTTCTTCCTTTCTGTTGAAATTGTCCACATGTTTGTGGATTTCAATGGCTTCTCTGTGTAGTCTGACATGGTGATTGTGAGAGTGGTCCAGCATTTTTGTGTTCTCAAATAAAATGCTGTGTCCAGGTTGGTTCATCAGGTGCTCTGCTATGGCTGATTTCTCTGGTTGGAGTAGTCTGCAGTGCCTTTCATGTTCCTGGATTCTTGTTTGGGCGCTGCGTTTGGTGGTCCCTATGTAGACTTGTCCACAGCTGCATGGTATACGGTAGACTCCTGCAGAGGTGAAAGGATCCCTCTTGTCCTTTGCTGAACGTAGCATTTGTTGGATTTTCTTGGTGGGTTTGTAGATTGTTTGTATGTTGTGTTTCCTCATCAGCTTCCCTATGCGGTCAGTGGTTCCTCATCAGGGAACTACCAGTATAAAAAAAAATCTAAAATTGCAACAGCAAAAACAGCAGAGAGAAAAACAGGCAGGGACATCTAATCACCTTTCAAGAAGAGTTTGCTCCAGGCTCAGTCAGCCCATTGTATGCTAATCAAGGTGGTCAGTTGAAAGAATCACACCTAGCCCAACTTACAAAAGCCCTTTGTCTCACCCTGCTCATTCCACAGATATATAAACCCCTTTTTTCCCAGCTCCAGCAGACCTCACCTCTGAGGATGCTTGCCATAGATGCAGGCGAAACGTCAGGAGAAATGCCTCTAGAACATGGCCATATAGCCCGAAAAAACCCACAAGAACTGGGAGAATTATTGTTGTGCTTACTATGCGACAATCTTACTTCTACCAGTAAACATAGTATCATTAGAATTTTTCACAGATGTATAGGTGTTCCTACAAAGTTTAAGATAATCTCTCTGAAAAAATCTGTCTTGTTCATCACCAAAGTGATAGTTACAAAATATTAGGTCAAGTTTTTAAAATAAATAAAAAATAGCATTACCTTCATATCCAGAGTGCACCTTTTCTGCAAGCAATACACAGCAAAGCTGATCCTCTATATCCTGTACTTTAATAAGATATGGAGTCATACGAAATGGGTGGTAGCAAATCTCATTTATATGCTCTTTTCCTGCACTGAAAAGTAAATGGAAGAATACTTGAATTGTTGTATTTTGCACAGATCTTTAAATGCTTTGATAGGTGAATCTAAACAATAGGCAGGTAACTAAAGGGCAGGATGTTGTTCCCAAGCAAAGACTGGGGCTTTCTAGCTTTTGTCTTATCACAACCTCCATCAATATACTCTGAAGAGACACAACCAAGATGAAAGAACCTCTAGAATTGATTCCAAGAGGTGCAAGGAATTACTGTGGAAAAGGAGAACCTATTCCCTATCAGCATGTGCAAGGGCTTCTCAGAATCCCGGTCATGTCTAAGGTAAACTATAGCATGCCAGAAATCGCATTCCGTAGTCATTTATTAAACTGTAAATTTTAATCTTCTTAGTTTTTAATTAACATAAATGACTTCATTTTTGCTAGTTTGTTACACTATTTAAGTGATAACTGCTGATTTATTTGCTGCATTTCTACACCGCTTTTCTCACCCCGGGGGGGACGGGGGGACGGATGGACTCAAAGAAGTGTACAACATAATAAATGGCAAATATTCCATGTCTAACATACATATAAAATAATACATCACATATTTGACTCCATAACATATAACTATAAATTAAAACCATTAAAAACCATACAAACCATCAAACATAAAATATTTTAGACACTGCATCAAACAAACAAAAAAACCCACCCCGATATTAAAATGTTGCTCTCACCTGATGCGGCAGAAAAAAGATTTCTCTTCTATGCACTCTTGTATGGTAGATTCTGTTAGGAAAATATTAAAATGATATTATTATTATTATTATTATTATTATTATTATTATTTTCTATCCCACTTTCCCCCCAAATCAGAACTCAAAGCGGCAAACAACATATAAAAAGTAAATGAAAATGAAAAAATAAGCAGTCCCATCACAAGCATACTCCTATATAATAAAACCCCACATCAAATATAGTTAGTATCTAAACAAAAAAACACAGTTAAAACCTTCAATAGGTTAAAAAACCATCTAGTATTATTTCATTTAGGCCGTAGTCAGGCTCACAGCCAGAACTCCCATTCAGTTCAAATATTACATATAATAGATCTAGCATTCATTCTCCTTCAGGAAAGGCCTGTTTCCACAGGAAAGTTTTTACTTGGTTCCTGAACGATAACACAAAAGAAGCCATTCTAACTTCTTTAGGAAGAGAGTCCGAGAGGTGCGGGACCACCACCAAAAAGGCCCTCTCTCTCGTTCCCACCAAACGCACTTGGGATTATGGTGGGACTGAGAGTAGGACCTCTCCTGAAAACCTCAAGGCTCATGTAGTTTCATAAGCCAAAGTGAAAGAATTTGAAAAGTGAAGAAGTCAAGATATCAAGAAGCTGTGCATTGTAATTATTCAGCTTGAAACACAATTTCAGTATTATTATTTTGTCGTGTCAGGAGTGACTTGAGAAACTGCAAGTCGCTTCTGATGTGAGAGAATTGGCCATCTGCAAGGACATTGCCCAGGGGACGCCTGGATGATTTTGATGTTTTTATCATCCTTGTGGGAGGCTTCTCTCATGTCCCCACATGAGGAGCTGGAGCTGATAGAGGGAGCTCATCCGCCTCTCCCCGGATTTGAACCTGCGACCTGTCGGTCTTCAGTCCTGCCAGCACAGGGGTTTAACCCACTGCGCAACTGGGGGCTCCTCACTTTCAGTATTGAAATAAGGGAAGAGCAATGTTCAGGGAGAAGCACACATTAGTCAGGAATGGTGTATGGGGTTAGTTATGGACTATGCCTTTTGAGACAGTAGAGTGATTTTACATCTGCTTTTCCCCACTCGTGGTATAATGGTCCTTTTACCGTAATTTAAAAAATGGGACAGGGAAGAGTTGACACCCCCCAAAGGATTTATTCACACATTTGAAAAAAAGGAACTCCCAGACAACAAAGTTCTACCCTGGAAGAATGCATTGCTTCATTACTAATCCTTTAGAACTGGAGCCAAAATATATTTATTGTCAGCACAGTGGATTAATGTAAGACTTACCAACTCCACTGCAAATACTCCACGATGGCAATCTGTATGGAGTAGTAGCACTATAGAACACACTAACATCCTGGGGTGCCAGAAATTCCACAAATCTGGCATTTTTAAAGGAACCTTTCTTACAATGAAGAATTGAAGCAACCTGATCAGAGATGTAGAGAATTTTCCCAGTAGCCAAAGAAACAGCTACAGCAAACATGTCCTTTAAAAGATTAAACATAATGCAAATTAAGTCAAAGTAATTTCAGTGAAGGAAAATGTTTGATATATTGTAACTTCATTGAAATACAAATGTGCAAAGCAAGCAAGACATGTTAGCCCTAATATTTTTTTCTTCACCTATTGCTAGCATCTGTCCCCATATCAACCAACAGTTTTATAATCAAAATATGGCTTTGAGGTTGCATCTGAATCATATTCCCAGAATGTTAACTCTCCCTTCAATCAAGGTATGCAACAATATTTTAGAACTTGGATAGGGAACTACAAGCAGTTGCAGTTTGCCTTTAACGCTGTATTCCATTAGTACATCTGAGGAAGGACAGGGAAATGCACAAAGGCACATGTTAAAATAAACTAGTTAAAGGTTCTTTCCCCCTCACTTTTCTTGTTTATGCTGAAGTTGCTAAATACCTTCAACCCTTTGAAAGCATCCACGCCATATTCTTCCTTGGTTCTCCTGCTTCTTTCTGATTGTTCTTGCATTTAAAAGATTTCCTTGGAACTCAGAGAGAGACCAAAGTACCAATTACAAGCAGAATTTTTCAACCTCGATAAGACGCAGGTAGGAAGCCATATAAAGTGTCTGCATTATTTCAACATAATAAAAATATCTCTGGAAAACAGAAATCTTTAGGGCTTGTTAAGCTAAACGAATGGGGATAATCTACGAGGATTATCCGAACTTCACACTTGGAAGGAAACGGAATGAGGATGTTTATCTCTAACCTTCACCACAATGCCAGTTGAGCTACTGATGACTACCACTGCTTGTTCACTTACGCTGGTTTCCTGCTACATGGCAGTGATATCAACTTCGCCCGGGAAAATTCCCTGTGAGAGCTATGTGCCTTGTAACCTTACTTTTTGGATAACCCTTGTAGTATCACCTGTAAACTTCCCTAACATGTCCAACACTCATAATTGCTTCATTGCAATGTCTCTCCTGTGACCTGGAGAATGAAGTTATTATATCAAGAAGATAAAGGCTACAGAAAGTGATATTTAGATCAAAATGAAATTCTCACTTTAATGTATAAAGGTTGTTTCAATGTAAATTTATGGTCAATAATACTCACTGAATTCTTCATGATGTACTCTGTAGTAATATTTTCGACATCTTCAACAGTATAGGACAATACATCAAGACCACAGGGATAGGTCTCATTTGTCATCATCAACTGATAATATTCTTCATTGGCTATATGAAAACAAGAAACATTGTTTACATTCTAGGTGATGTTGCTTACGTCAACCACAGTCATATATAATGACCATGTGATTTTTCTTAGAATAGCAGAATAAATAATAGTAAATTGATTTGTTGAACAAGTAGCAGATCAGAGACATCTTTTTCAATTGCATTCCTGAACATAACACATTTTCCATATTTCAAAAAAGCTAGAAGCCCGGGACAAGCTGACACTTTATAGGGAATTCTGAAGTGCCCACAAGAGGTGCAACCATTTTGTACAACACAACTGTCAAACAGCCACTCTGTCAAATATTTGTGAATGTCTAGATGTGAGTAATCTGCACACAAATTAAAAATGGAATGGTTCTAGCAACATCTCTTCTCTTCATCCTTGCCCACTCTTGCAGCCTCTAAGCAAGGGGTATGCAACTGTGGAACCTTGCATTAGCCCTCTAGGCAACATTAGAGAGCACCCCGCTCCCCCCCCCCGCCTCAATGTTTTCTCCCAAAATGCTCCCAAACATTCTCTGGGGAACATGAGAGTATCATTTTGGACTGTGCTGGCCCTCAGGGACATTATAGAACATTATAGGATGAGAAGGAGAAGAAAAAGACATAGAGGAAGAGGTAGTGGTGGTGATGAGAGCAAATGGCAGAAATATCATGAAAATAAAAAGGGACACGCACTTTTGTTTTCCACAGTTGACGAGAAAACCAAGTATACACTAAATAAAATTTGTTGTCTTTGGGGGTAGGGACACAATATCAAATTACTGCAGAAAAGAATTAACCAAAGTGTGTTGCAGACAAAAATTGGGAACTACAGCAACAAATGCTGCTATCTCCCAAAACATCTGTCCTGCCTGAAAGAGTCTAGACTCCATTCAGAAAGCCTCTCTTATTAAAACCTAGTTTCCTATTTTACCTTGAAAATGCAGTTTTAATTGTGTCAGTATAATTACAAATAGAAATGTCTGGTATATTTACCTTTAACTTGCTTAATGCTCCGGAGTGCATATTTCAGAGTTGATAGGATAGTAGATTTGCCTTTGATCATTTTATCAGGAGGAAGATGCCCTTTTAATTCTTGCAACGTTTTTATCAGTTCCTTCTGAATTTTCGATTTTGAAGTCAGTTCACTGCTACATAATGCAAACACAAAAAGTCATGTTCTGAATTTAATTTTTCTTCAATAATGCCCAAGGTTTAAACTTAAATGAATTGTGCAGAAAGTATACTGCTCTCAAGTCAATTAGCATTTTATTTTTGCCTATGCCAAACTTCATAACATGAGCATCTGAAAAAATATGTAGAATGCTAATTTTATGCAAATTTTTATTTACTACGAATGGATCCATGTGCATTCTCTTATTTCCCTTTCCTCCCTCCTTCTAGCCTCCTCTGCCAGGCCTGCCAGAAAACTGCTGGACCTTCGAGTGTACAGTAGGTGGTTGTATTGTGACTGGGGACAGCCATCCCATGACCCCTGATCTCCCAAACCGTCTCTCAAGACAGCTGCTACCAGTTCCACTTAGGAACCAGTTATTTCACTGTCTCTAATTTGGGGGATAACCTGAATTCTTCCCTAGGTGGATCAAGTCCCAATCTCCAGGCTCTTGAATAAAATTTCCTTTCAATTGACACCAAGTTTAATAGGGTTAACCACCAGGAATCAAAGTCTGAAGCCAGCAAATTGTGTCAGTATAACTTAGTTAGGAAGGGGAAAGATCTGGACAAAGCAGTTTTACAACCTTGTCTCTTGCCCATGGTTATGGATCAATAGTGTCATTTTTGCACAAACCCAAAGCTAGAATTCATTTTAAGATCATTTTCATCTCCACCTGAAATACTCTATGGCTTAACGCAGTTATATCAATATAGACAGATACATTTATAAGACATTTCCAAAGCTCTACTGGCACAAGTTGCCCATAAATTATACTATAAACATTTATAGGATCAGAACTATTATTTTATATCAAAGCCACACAGTACCTTTTATAACATTCTAAAGATTCCATTATCATAGCTGTTTCTTTTCCATTTTCTTCACCCTCATTACTACGAGAGTCATGTCCACTGGAGTAATGTTCATTGGCATCAATTGCACTTGATTCCCCATTCATTTCAATGTCTTCTTGTAGAACACCCAGATTCTGTTCATTCTTCATCTGAATATCAGTGCTTTCTACAATCATTTTAGCATTTTCCATTTCCAAGTAGTCACTCATGTTGAGGAGAATCTTTTAAAAACAACTACTACAACTAAATGTTTTACAAAGCTCAAATTCCAGAATTCAGCTCTTCAATGAAATATGAGAACATTTGCAAAATCAGGTGCAGTTTTGTTATTATTCAAGCCATATTTGTGTTACTGTTCATAATTCTTCACATCTTTATATCAGAGTTCATAACCTAGAAGAGAAAAAAAAACTCAAGCTGAACACAATGTGACAAAAATTCACAAAGTAGATTGGATCCATTTAAGACTGACAAAAACCCATTTGTCTATAAGTGTGTAGGATTCGCATTGTATTGTTGAACTGCATTCCTCACAACTGGATATACCAACGAAGGCTCCTTGAACTTGCATTTTGACAACATCTGGCAAACAAATTATCTGATTCCCAACTCTCGTATAAAAGGGGGAAAACATCCTATTCTTCATGTTGCTACTTCTCTTTTTTTTTTTAAAAAAAAGACTTTGGAAAAGCGGTGACTGTATTTTTATGTAAACACAAGTTTTCTAAGGCAGTAATTATGTTGACATAAAGGACAATGAGTAGTTCAGTGGCCCAATAAGAGAGTGCTATCCAACTGAGCTATGACCCATTCTATAAGTGCATCACAGGAATGACAATGCCAGGAAGTTTAAGATCAGGTTGTGAGTTAACTTCAATCTTGCACAATCTACGTATTTGGTTTTCCATTTGTACTGTACGCCTTGGCTGGAGTTAGGTGCAAGACAAGAAGGTGATCAGGCAGCAGCCAACTAGAAAATTTGAAAATGAATATATACTTACATTCTTACAAATCATATTGTATACAACCATTTTAGAGATCTTTATTCATTTTTTAAGGAAAAATGTGAAATACAAATGATAGACTGTAAAAAATGAATTCAAAAACTGAATGCTACTACCCTTTGGGAGACTAAATGGAACTCCAATGAACCAAATATTTACATCCTCTAATTGCCAATTTTCCAGAGATTTTACATTTTTCAAGTTCTTGCACCATTCCCCTTCTCAATAGTTAGTGATACATGTAAGCTATGTTTTGAACTGAAAAAGGAGTTCCACAATTTATGGACACTATAAACCATGTAATTAAATGAGAGTTATATCTGCATTTTGTTCTACTGGTTGAATATTCCTTATCAAAAGTGCATGGGACTAGAATACCTGTATTTGTATAACCTAAGATATGTTGGAGATGGGACCCAAGACAAAACATGGAATTCATTTATTTTTCATATATACCTTTTATGCACAGCCTAAAGATAAAACACAGTATTTTTAATAATGTTGTCTATGAAAGAAAGCTTGTGTATTGTACCACCGGAAAGCAAAGGTGTTGGACAATTTTGGATTTGGGAGTATTGGGGATTTGGATATTCAACCTATATTAGGAAAGGTATATATAATTCTTCCTCCCCTGACTCCCATCTTTTACTTAGAAACAGAGTAGCCCCAATGAATTGCTGCATTTCCACGATTCTAAGATGTACTTTCCCCTCATATAAATGTCTCTAAAAATGGGGTGCAAACTAGAATAACAAGACAGGGCCTTCTTGGAATAATGGGTGTACACACACACACACACACTTTTTTCTGTTGGTGGTACTGAAATTAGTATGCGTCTTACAATCAAAGAAATATGGTATTGTAATACTCACATGGGCAGAGAAACCTTAGAGCAGTGGTAGTGAGCTTCTGGCACATGTGCCAGAAGGGGTAGGCAATGCCTTCTCTTCCTGGCACGCATGCCATCACCCACCCCCACTTGCCATTCTGCCCCTGCTTGCCAGCCCTCCAGCTTGCTTGCCCCCACTCACCTACCCCCCTGGTTTGGGCACTCCATCTCTAAAAAGTTCACCATCACTACCCTAGAGTATAGCTTACCTATCCGAACATATCTCCCTCTATGAGCCAGGTAGAACATTAAGATCAGCTGAGAAGATCCTGCTCTCGGTCCCACCACCTTCGCAGGTGCGACTGGTGGGGACGAGAGACAAGGCCTTCTCCATGGTGGCACCTCAGCTGTGGAACTCCCTCCCCAATGAGATCAGATCAGCCCCCTCCCTCCTGATGTTCAGTAAATTACTCAAAATGTAGCTTTTAAAGCACACATTTGGAGAGTGAGATGAAGCAGCTACGACAACTTTGGGATCGATGCAATGTTCTATGTTATGCTGTTTAAGTTATTATTATGTGCTATTTTAGTTATGTGTTGTATTTTATACTCTGTGAGACATTGAATTTTGGCATTTATTTATTTATTTACTCTATTTATACCCGCTCTTCTTACCCCAAAGAGGAGTCAGAGCGGCTTACGGGTAATGGCAAAATTCAATGCCGCATTATACATATAATAAATAACATATCAATTTGAACAACAGTTAAAACATATAATACAATAAAACAGTTTAAAAGCATACATAGTGCCAAGTGCAGAGTCCCAAAGTCCTTATTCAAGCTGCTACATAAACATTTTGAAATATGGTTGACTACAGACAAGGCAATTTAGGCACATTGTCTGGAGTATTAAATGAAAGTAGGTTTCAGTTTATGTCAGATGTGACTCTAACAAGTCGATGAAACTCTTAAAAATAGAAACAAAGATGCTGAAAGAGTTTGTTGTGAACTGCTTTGAATCTCCCCTGGGGTTGAGAAAAACTGTAAATAAATAAATAAATAAATAAATAGGCTCAGTTCAGTAGGAGCTGCAGAAGACAGGAGCTGAAGTTGCCAGGGATAAGGATTAGGCTCTTTACACTTTGAATAAGATAATAGGATTTTCAATTATGTACAATAATTAGAAGAGGATAAAAGAATAAATTCCTTAAACATGCACAACACTGGGCTGCAAGTCTTTAATCCAATGCTCATTTAAACACTCCACTGAAATTGGAAAACCTTACTTCTAAGTAAAACAATTTAGATTGTAAAGATTTTTTAAAAAGAAAAAAGAATAGAACCTGAAAGTTGTCAGAACTGAAAATGTCTTACAGAATTGACTTTCAATGCATATTAATTGCTTGAGAGAAAAACAAAGGCAAATGTCCTCTGAACAAATGTTCCCAAGAAATGCCCAATTTTTGTGGCAAAATTTGTTCAGAGATTGTTTCTCTTTGTTTTCCTGAGGCTGAAAGTATGTATGACTTGGTTCAGATTATTCAGTGGGTTTCTACAGCTGAAAGGAGACTTGAACTCTGGTTTTCAGAATTATAGTGTAACATTCAAACCACTACACCATGTTGGTTCTAATAGTCTCATGAGGGCTAAGTACCACTCCTAGGCCATATTTCCACCCCTACTCTTGATCCTTTTCATACACATTGTTTTCAGTTCATATGTCACCCATCCTATATTTGTGTACCCGATTAATCCATTTTCTAAGTCTGGCTTAGTTCTCTTTTCTGTTTTCTACAATTTTAGTTATTTTACCTAGATTAGAGGGGTCCCAGATGGCGCAGGAGGTTAAACCGCTGAGCTGCTAAACTTGCTGACTGAAAGGTCGGCGGTTCAAATCCAGGGAATGGGGTTAGCTCTCATTGTTAGCCCCAGCTTCTGCCAATCCAGCAATTTCAAAACATCCAAATGTGAGATCAATAGGCACCGCTCCTGTGGGAAGGTAACAGCGCTTCATGCAGTCAGGCCGGCCACATGACCTTGGAAGTGTCTAGAGACAATGCTGACTCTTTGACTTAGAAATGGAGATGAGCACCACCCCTCAGAGTTGGACTTGACTAGACTTAATGTCAAGGGCAAACCTTTACCTTTACCTATATTAGTAACATCTGCAAATGTGACAAGAACATCCCCTATATTTCTTCATCTATTTATTATGATGTTTAATACCAGGTACAGGAAACACAACTACTGCATCCCACATTATCTACACAACCTTGCTTGATTTTAGACTGAAGATGTCAGATGCAGTTAATACCGTACTGGTATTCTTTGTTATTAATTATATGAATGTTTTAATGAATAGAAATGAGAAAAGAGGGTTTTTTTCTGCAGAAAAAATAAGCATAAGAAAATGTCCCATTTGTATTTATTTTCCATCCTAGACTAATCTGAAGGGACGAAGGAAAGATTCCAAATGAATAAAAAAGACTGTCTTCACGGTATTCCTATCAGCAGGCCTGCAGTGTCCGGACATTTTCAGTAGTTCCTACTAGGTTTGTGTGATTCAGCCAAAGGGCATGCTGTTTCGGAGTCCATTTTTGGTGAACCCCTCATTTTGTTTATGCAGAAGTTATTTGAATTGGGAGAAGTCTTGCCACTTTCATTTGGAAAAGATTCAGTTCATTGGCTACAATGGGAAAACTTTAAAGGCTCAAATCTCAGTCATTTTAAGGCCTATCTGAATGAAACCTACCTCAGTTTTAGACCGCATTTACAACTGCAGGCCTGCCAAGTTTCAGAACAATCCACCAATCTACTGATTTGTAATAATTATTTTAAGTTTTTATCATAACATAAAACACCCATCAGCATTATTGAAATACTCTCAACCCTCCGAATTAACCTTGCCAAAAATCAGCAGACAACTATCATAAGTGCCTACACACCAACACTAGATGCTGACAAAGACATCAAAGTAAATTTTTACTGTCAGCTGGACACCATCCTGTCATAGATATCTAGAAATTGCCCAATCATAATCTTGGATGATTTAATGCAAGAGTTGGATGAGACTTCAACCTGTGGCCAGGGACAATAGGAAAATATGAGGTTGGAAACAGAAATCTGAATGGGATCCTGCTTCTCACTAAATGCGTGGAACACAATCTTGTCATCACCAACACACTCTTCCACCAGAAAAGCAAGCTTAAGGCATCATGGAAACACTCCTGGCCAAAGCATTGGCACATCTTAGACTATATAATTATACGTGCCAGAGATCATCGCGAAGTGCTTTCCACAAGAGCCATGACAGATGCCGATGACTGCTGGACAAACCACAGGTTTATTCTAACTATGATGGCCATCAATATCTCCCCCTAACACAGTCTTCAAGGAAGAAAGATAAGGCACAAAATGAACACTCAAGCCCTTCAAGAGCCCTCTAAACGAACTCCTCTCCAAACA